CAGAAATCCGGTTTTTTTTTTTAATTTAAAAGTATACAGAAACCATAAGTTATTAACCCTTTGGCTCGGTACTTTGGATATCGCAACCCTTCGGCCTTGATTCCAGGATAGATACCGTAAATCTGAGAGAAATGCGGCTTTTCTGCCTACCACGGGGCGTGAACCCGGACCATAAGGAGTTCGTCACTCTGTCGCCGCGCAGTCAGGTTTAGCCAACTGAGCTAGCGAGCTAGGCACAGACATTCATATATAGATGCGCTCATTAACACACTGAGACATACAAAAACAGCCAGGGAGCTAAACGTTTGGACAAATCTAATTGCCTTCATGCAGGAGAACACTTATAATAACAATAAATCAACCAATCAGTAAGAGTATTTATCCATCCGTCAAACAGTCAGTAAGGTAATGAATCAACGTGCCAATCGATCAACCAGTCAATGGATCAATCAGTCAGTCAAACGATCAACAATTCTTTCAATCAATCAATCAGGGGATCAATCAAACAGGGGATCAATCAATCAGTGTATCAATCAATGAAAGGATCGATCAATGAAAGGATCAATCAATCAATCAGTTGATCAACCTGTAGGTCAAATAATCAACGATTCTATCAATCAAGGAATCGATCAATCAATCACTGGATGAACTAGTCAGTCAAACAATATCGAATCTATCGATCAATCAGTGGATCAATCAATGAATCAATAAATCAGTCAGTCAATCAGTCATGCAGTCACGCTGTTCTCTTGTGTACTGATGCCTATTTTAACCCCTCCGACGTGGGCCAATATAATTAATGTCCTTCACTTTGAAGAAAATGTTTTGATATGATTTAATTTCACATTATAATTGTTCCACCAAGGCAGATCCTTGTGCAATTTGTAAATTATGAAGAAAAAAAAATGATAATAAACACTTATGAAAGAAACTCACCAAATGACAATTAGAAAGTCAAACAAATGTAAAATATCGGAATCATGGTTTTACTTATTCAAACACCACGAATGAAACTCAGTAAAATAAAAATAAAAATAAAAATTAAAAAAGTCAGTTTCATCGTGTCACTAGAGACAAGGATGAAATGGAGGCACAAATTTGGGAGAAGGAAAAGTTGACAGGAGAGGAAATTGGATTAACACGATTGAGCCTAGTTTAGGGAATTTGAGGATTAATCAAAATGATTGTTCGTTTGTTGTAGGAACTTCGTGAAGAGGAGAGAAGAAGAGGTGACCTAAGTGGCGGGAGGGAGCCAGAGAGGGAGAGGAGAGAGGGCAGCGAGAGGGAGTCAGAGAGGGAATCAGATAGATAGCCGAGAGGGAGTCAGAGAGGGGCAGGCGAGAGGGAGTCAGATAGGGAGGAAAGATGGAGTCAGAGAAGAAGGTGAGGGAGAGTCAGAGAGGGAGAGGCGAGAGGGAGTCAGAGAGGGAGGCGAGAGGGAGTCAGAGAGGGGGGTTAGAGGGAGTCAGACAGGGGGAGGCGAGAGCGAGTCAGAGAGAGGGGTGAAAGGGAGTCGGAGAGGGAGAAGAGAGAGGGCGGCGGGAGAGCGAGAGAGGTAAAGAAGGTAGGGAGCAAGACTGGAGACGAAAGGGGGAGGGGGAGGGGGGAGGGGAAGACAGACACAAAAGCAAGCAACATTGAGAAAACGAAACAAATGAGCAGACTAAGAAAAGAAGAAGGAAATAAATAAATAAATAAATAAATAAAATGCAATAGACATTTATGTTTAAAAAGTGGAAAAGGGGGTGTGGTGGGGGGGGGGGGGGGGGGCGATGGGGTTGGAGTAATGTGGGGTAAATATCAGTTGTGTAGGAGATCGCCAGATGTGTAAAAAAGTTGTCTTATCACAATAATCGGCGCCGCACTTGATGAGTTCGTTGGTGACATACGGTACCTTACGGCCCCTCACCGATTACCCGTAGCCGGACACCTATTCATGATCGATCTTTTAAAAGAGGGTCAATTCTGCAGCCTACTTCCTGCCTGCTGTGGTCGATTTATAACATCTAGAGATTGAACAGGGTATCTGGTATCTGCCTGGGCGGTCTGACGTTCATATTGAGATGTTCTGCTCTGAGGATAAAAAAAGTGAAAGGTTAAAATTAAGAGAATCGACTTTATACACCGAGCTTTATCCTACATGGCTCGGTCTCTCTCAACAGAATTGCTAGCCGCTTGCCGAGAGCGTCGACAAAAGCAAGAACTCCGTAGCTCCGGCGACGATCGCCAGCAAACGGATGGATCGATGCACTCAAGTGTTGACGCATCTTTCTGTCTCCACAGGTGTCTACCTGGTTTGCTAACGCCAGAAGAAGACTGAAGAAAGAAAATAAAATGACTTGGTCACCGCGAAACCGCAGCGAGGACGGCAGCGACGATGTTGATAACAATGAGGACGATGATGACTGCGGAGACGGCAGACGGCGTGACGTCATCTCCCCGTCTCCGCAGGACCTCGATATTACCTCCTCCAAACCGTCGTCTCCACTTCTTTCTCCAGGTGAGTGATGCCCGTATGTCGTGTTGTTGTGTGTGGTGTCGTATGTTATGTGGTGCTTTTATGTAGCCTGTATGTGTGGTTGTATGTTGTGTCATATGTTATGTAGTGGTTGTATGTAGCCCGTATGTGTGGTTGTATGTCGTGTCGTATGTTATGTGGTGGTTGTATGTCGTGTCGTATGTTATCTGTGTGTGTAGTTGTATGTCGTGTCGTATGTTATGTGTGGTTGTATGTCGTGTCGTATGTTATGTGGTAGTTGTATGTCGTGTCGTATGTTATGTAGTGGTTGTATGTGGCCCGTATGTGTAGCTGCGTGCCTTCTCTTTGTGGTTGTGTATGCGGATGCTTGTCTAGTTGTTTGTAGTTGTGTGTGTTTGTGAGTGTGGCTGTCTGGGTCGTATGTATGGTTGTGACTGCTCGTGTGTGTAGATGATCGTGTGTTTATGTTTGTGGTGTGTGTATGTGTGTGTGGTTGTATGTATGCGTATGGTTCGCGATTCTCCCTCAAACAGGTTCTCCCGTCTCCCTTAAACAGGTTCTCCCGTCTCCATCAAACATTTCATCATTTCCCTTACACATTCTTCCATCCTCACCCTCTCTCTCCATCTGACATTGAGTCATCTCCTCCCCGCCAACTCCCACCGCCAACATTCCCCCTTCCCACCAAGCAGTTACAGATCACACCCCCCCCCCCTACCTCGAACTTGTTTATAAACAGATCCACAACTTACCAATCCCCAAACTGCTTGCCTATTGATCCCATTAACTTCACCAACATCGCTATAATCCCACCGCTGATCCTATATTAAGATAATCCCCGGGTTTATTCCCGATCCATGTTCGCAATTTCTCCTCAAACATATTTACTTCAGTGGTTTTCAAAACATACATGCATGTTTTGATACACCGTGATGTTTGAAAGCTGACTAAACGTGGCGCCCCTTTGGGTAAGACGATTCGCCCGTACTGCTACTGCACAAGACTTGTTATGGCCAACTGTTGAAACATGGAGGAGCGGCTGGCCGAACGGTTGGGACGCTGGCTCACAAACGGGAGACCCGGGTTCGAATTCTCGGTAAGGTTGGATATTTTTTTCTGTCAGGGGCAAAATCAAATCCTCCCCTGCACAGTCGTGGCGACAGCACCAGCCATGCTCAAAAAGCTACTGCCTACAACGCAAACAAAGGCAGTAATTGGCAGTTTGGCAGTTGAAACATGAGAGATATCGAAAATCAGATTGTGCTAAAGGAGTTAGATTGTTTATTTTATCGTGTTCGTAGCGAACAAGTAACGATGGCTGCTTTATTCCTGTTATATTGCTTGAGTATGGGAGTTAGACGCTTAAAACACACACACACACACACACACACAGAGAGAGAGAGAGAGAGAGAGAGAGAGAGAGAGAGAGAGAGGGGGGAAGGGGGTGGGAGAGAAGAAATAAACGAAACAACGAACGTTGTTTTCGAATGTCACACACTCGTCATGCAGTCTTATATTCGGCCCACCGGGAAGGCTAACCCGGTCAACAAATGCCCGCAGAAGTCGGATGTGTTGGCCGAAAGGTGCAAATATCGCAGCCATGCTGTAAACAGACACAACGCAATTATATCTTCGGATGAAGGCAAAAAAAGAATAAGATATTCGACCCTTCCAGATATTCTCCTTTCACACATTAACTGCAATTTGTATCTATAAATCAAGTCAGGTTCATCTGGCAGTCTACGTTGTATGAGTAATGACCTAGGGGGGAAAAATGCTAAATCATGGATGATAAATATATGTTTATATACATTCAAATATACATACATGCATACATGACATTAGCACACAGGTTTATGCACATACAAACAAACTTGGTGACCCATAATTCATATGCACATGCATACAGACGCAAACCTAGCAAACACAAATATATATAAACACACTAATACATGAGGCGGCGTCCGTGGCTTAGGCGTTGCGAGTCCGACTGGTGATTCCACCGTACCGCGATCGAAACCTACTGCTGGCTGCGTGGATTTTTATCATGACGTGGAGCGTCGCAGTTCGACACAGCCTTAAATGGGTATCAGGATGGCTGTCACGGGGAAATAAAGACGGGCGGCGTAATGCTGACCACATTACCCACCTAGTGCCGATTGGTCTGTAAAAATATGGGTGCTCTTCCCATATGCCCGATGTGCCTAAGGTGTAAAAAGAGATATTTACTTAATACATGGTAGAGAGAGAAAAAGAAAGACAAAGAGAGACAAGATATAGAAAGGAGGGGGGGGGGGGGGGGAAGAGAGAGAAATTTACTTATCTTCCGTCTATATGAAAAGAGACTGATCTTAATGCTTAACCTTAGTGACGTAAAATACAAACAGCTGGCTTCATTTTTTTCCATAAAAAAGTATCAAACCCAGCCAGAGGTACAGCTAGTCAGCTCCACATTTTATCATAATCACGAAGAACAGACAAACGTTCCGGCTAGAAAACTTCCATCACCACATAATACGAAAATACATTGTTGGAATAACAGATATGAGTATGCAAAAATCACTGAACTGAGATCTGTCTGAGCAATAACCTCGACAAGGTTATTTTATCTTCGTTGTTATAGTCATAAACATAAATGTTTATGTCTTTATTGTTAAGTCATATATGTTTCTCAGTTTTGTTTACTCAAATACAATTTCTTTCTTCCACCCCCCCCTATGGTCTCTCTCTCTCTCTCTCTCTCTCTCTCTCTCTCTCTCTCTCTCTCTCTCTCTCTCTCTCTCTTTTTTTTTTTTTTCTATTGTCTGCTCGTCTACACTTGTCTATCTGACTGTCTGTCTCTATATGTATCTTTTCCGCTGTTTCATATCCCGTCCATCCCTCTCATCACCTCTGTCGTTGTATTAGTCTCGCTCTTTCCCTTTCATTCCGCCAGTCTCATTTCTCTTGTTCTTGTTCTTGTTCTTCTCCTTCTTCTTCTTCTTCTTCTTCTTCTTCTTCTTCTTCTTCTTCTTCTTCTTCTTCTTCTTCTTCTTCTTCTTCTTCTTCTTCTTCTCTTTTTCACTTTCTTCTTCTTCTTCTTCTTCTTCTTCTTCTTCTTCTTCTTCTTCTTCTTCTTCTTCTTCTTCTCATCTCTTCTTCTTCTTCTCTTCTTCTTCTTCTTCTTCTTCTTCTTCTTCTTCTCTTCTTTCTTCTTCTTCTTCTTCTTCTTCTTCTTCTTCTTCTTCTTCTTCTTCTTCTTCTTCTTCTTCTTCTTCTTCTTCTTCTTCTTCTTCTTCTTCTTCTTCTTCTTCTTCTTCTTCTTCTTCTTCTTCTACCCCTCCTCCTCTCTCTTCCTCTCTTTCTGGTACTTTTTCTCAACATCCCTCCCCTCCCTATCACCACACATCACAATTTCCCGTCTGCCTAAACTACCCGTTACCGAATCGCGTATATTCCATTAACAATTATCATTCCGTCACAGCGTTTTCTCACTCCCATTCTATCTTGTTCATCTCCTTCTCCCTTCCTCCCGCCACCATCACCTCCTCCTCAGCTACTCCTCCCCGTTATTTATTTTTCTTAACCCACTTGCACACAGTTATCACCAACATCCCAAAATACAACTTGAGACCATTATGATGTTGTCTGACAATGTCCAGACTTGTCTTGATGGCAAGTCGTATGTCTTAGATAAAGCCTCCGACACGAAATGCTGTTTACTTAACGGGCGGGGGTTGCGGGAGAAGATGACGGAGCGGCATAAAGAAATCTGTTGTTTTGACAAAAGCCCCTAGCCTAACAGTTGACTGGTTGCCGCGCATACATGAACCATTAAGTTAAAACACCGAAGCCAACCTGCCAGTCATGGAGGCCTGGTCTTTCTGCTGTACCGGCACAGTGATGGCAACGATTGTACAACGCTACTACAAGTGCTGTGAAACAATACCAGTTTCCCGCAATAAGCTGGGTTTTCGGCTTCTAGAATGTATGTTTACGTTATAGCACGTATTGTTTTAGTTGCTATAGAAACAGTGAGTAAGATCACGTGGTCATACACAGCGAGATAACAACACGAACAACCACAGCTGTTACTATATAACTGTTGCGGCTGCTACTACTACTATTACTAAAATTATCACTATTATTATTATTGTTATTATTATTACTAGTATAACAAAAACATAAACTACTACTATTACTGTTCCTACTGCTTCTACATCTGCCGCTGCTGTTGTTACTGTTACACATACACCAGTAACAACAACTACGACTACCGGCAGCTGATTCTAATTCTACAAGAACAAGAACAACATCTACTGCTGCTGCTGTTGCTTCTGCTACTATACTGTTGCTACTGTTGCTGCTCCTGTCACTGCAGCTCTACTTCATTATCTTCTCAACGAGAAAATGAACGAAAACAAAATACATTAATAGCGTCGTTTCACAAGGCCAGAAGTGGATGGCGCTCATGGTTCTAGTGTTCTCAGAGAGAGAGAGAGAGAGAGAGAGAGAGAGAGAGAGAGAGAGAGAGAGAGAGAGAGAGAGAGAGAGAGAGAGGTGTGAGATGAGAGGAATACAGACAGACAGACAGACAGACAGACAGACAGACAGACAGACAGATAGACAGACAGACAGACAGACAGACAGACAGACAGACAGACAGACAGACAGACAGACAGACAGACAGACAGACAGACAGACAGACAGACAGACAGACAGACAGACAGACAGACAGACAGACAGACAGACAGACAGGTAGACAAACAGACAGACAGACAGACAGACAGATTCTCTAGAACAGCACACAACAAATAATACAATATCAACAACAGGAAAGAACAATCGCGCAATGTTTCGATGACAAACATCGTGAAACTCGCGGACTTGCGAGACCATCAAAGAAATTCTAGTGGGATAAACATTTTGACAAAGGGACGTCCAAACTTCTGCCTTATTGCCCGGGAGTTGAGCTTTATTCCTGACAGATCTATGAAGGAGTTCAGATGCTACAACGAACAACTCTTACCGGCCCCGACTTT